TTTTATTCCCAAATAAATCGTGCTTTGAAATTCCTAATAAAATTACTTGGGTTACTATGGAAACGTATTGAGGTTGAATTGTCAAACTTGACAAGCTTTAATAGCTTTAATATCATTTATGTAGAACACTAACAACTGTACGGAAATATCATTTCCTTACAGTAAGGAAGTCCTGACTTTTTCTTCAAGAAATTTTGACAGGAATGTCAAAATTTCCTGGCGATTTGCGGAAAATACTATTTATTGTTGCCATTAGGAAAAGCGTTTCCCGAAACTACTTATCAGTCAGGATCAGGATCATTTGTAAAATAAATTTGACCAAAACTACTTGGTCAGAATAATATCAAACCTTAAGAAGGATAAACGTATGAAAACAAGACAGAATTAATGTTGATAATCTGCATATTGAAACCATTGCGAGAGAGTATAGGAGACAAATAGATGAGCAAATAGAGTCTAGAAGCAGGAAAAAATATGGAGGAATTGTGGACAAAATGTAGAAACATAATGATTGAGAAAGCATGGGAAATATTGGGAAAAACTAAGCCAGTTAGATAAAACCAATGGTTTGACGAAGAGTGCCAAAAAGCAACAGATAACAAAAATAGATCATACCTAAAGACAAATCAAGCTAGATGCATAAGAATGGCTAGATGCATAATCAAGCTAGATGCATAAGAAGAGCAAGGGGGGAATACCGGACCCTAAGGAAAGAAGAAAAAAGATTACATAGAATAAAAAAGGCAACTTGAAGAAAAGCAGTTAGAAAATATAGAATGGCTACGAAATCAAAACGAAACATCAACGGAAATATAAACAAAATTAGTAGAGTTTAAGCCAAGAATAGGGAGCTGTGAGGATGATGAAGGAAGTATCCTAAGTGAAACGGCCTCAATCTTGAACCGATGGGTTGAATTCAGGGTTAGTAAAAGGGAGGTTGCATGGTAACTCTGACATTGACAGAATTAAATATGACGTGTGACGTCACCGAGGGGGTCAATTTGACGAATTGTTTGAAAACAAAATAGGAGAAATGGTTTGGAGAATATATTTTGTTGTTAAATATCGTTAGTGCTTTAGTTTATGTTAATATCTTGAGATATAATGTGTCTATGATATTATTGAATGGTTTTTAGTATACAACTTGGACCCAAAACTGCTATACAAGTGTTAAGATACATTTAACGTGGTTGTGTCTTACTGGATTTTATTTCTGCTGTATTATATAGTAAAGGTAACATTGGGATTAATAAACATAACTTAATTCAATTTTTTTATTGATTCAGATGACTGGTGAAAATATTTGTAGTGTAGCAATCTGCAAAAATAATTCAAAAAATTCCAAAAAGGATGGAAGGAATTTAATATTTTTTACATTTCCAAAAAATGTAAGAATTCAAAAGCAATGGATGAGCAAGTGTCATAGGAAGGATAAGTGGTCCTGTTTTAATAAAAGAGTTTGTAGTATACACTTTCGCATGGAAGATTATGAGGATGCTTTAAAAGCTACACTATTAAACATACAACCTAAATAGCTGAAAAAAGATGGTAAGTAGGTATAGTCATTTAAATATTCAGTAAAAATGTGAAAATTCACTGATTTTAATTTTCATAATATACTGTTAATTATGTACAACTTAAAAGGTATCTATTTAATGGAATCATGTTTTAATATTTTTTATATTCTATTATATAATCCAGTAATGTAATCAGATGTTCCTTAAATATATTGAAGTTAAGGCAAAAACTACTAATTCTGATATATAAATCTTTAGTTGAATCTCTTTTTCAGTATGGTTTACTTGTTTGGAGGAATTTATAATAATCCACTACATGCATTATCCTCAGTTCAAAATAATTAAAAAAAAGTAAATTGTATTCAACCCATTATTAATATAGTATATTAACATGTTTTAGTCACATATATACACAAGAAAGAATCTACTTTCAATATAATATAGTAATGATATTCTACTACATATGTTTATCTGCAATAATATTTCATGATTTCTGTAACTCTGCAGGTACTTACCCCCCACATTTTTTAAAGATTGAATGAAATAAATAGTTATTAAAAGTCCAAACGTATTTTTTTCAATATATATATATATATATATATATATATATAATATATATATATATATATATATTGTTGTACTTTTGAATGTCCATAAGCAATAAAAAACCGATATACAAATTTTATTACTTAAATAAAAATTAAAATTATTGATATTTCATAAAGACACGGGCATATAAATTTTCAAACATCCTATATAAGACAAAATATGTATTTTAAGTTGTTCGAAGAATTGTTCATTAGGCCTCAGAGACAAGACTTTCAAATATTATCGATAAGAAATTTAAATAAGTCGGTTATTGTGGAATGGATTTACCCGGAAAAAAAGTGTATATCGACAGTGTTTAAACAATAGACCGGGATTTGCGGTGGTTTTTCTCCCCGAAAGATTATATCGGTAAAAGTTTATTAACAAAAGACATTGAATTGAGAAACAGGTATCGTTTGTAGCTATTAGTAAGAAATATTTGTAAAGCAGATAGATTTAGTTAGAATAATTAAAGAATGTTGTTTTCTGGAATTACCCGAATGACGTTTTATAAAGAGATTTGGTTGGTAACGATATACGTCACAGAGGTGGATGATTTTGATTGGTCAATTTTTGAATGCAAGGAGGTAGTGGTTGTGGCTATGAGATAGGAGAGAGGAAAAAAGTTAGTCAGTTTTCGTCGCCCAAGAAGGAAGGAGCTTTGTGGCTTGTGTTTGTTTGAAGTCCCGAAGACGTAATTTACCGGGTGTGTTTATTTGCTGTGTAAAAGCTGATCAGTGTGAGGAACGGGGTACAGAGAGATAGAAAAACCAAAGGGTATAAGAATATTAATATCAGACGACGCCGGAAACATTTGAAGTTATAAACAGGCGCGGAGATTGGCTCAAAAGGAGGCTGCATAGAATTACACGAGTTGTTGGGTTGCAGATACAAGGACAGATAGGAGAAAGGTGTACGTCATCTGGACCACAATAGGAGCAGAAGCAGAGAAAGGTTTTTTTTATGGCGTGGCCATAGAATTACAACAGCAGAGAACGAAAGGTCAGTCAATTTTCATTAGAGCAGGAGTGTGGTTTTCATTTATTAATTAAATAAATTGAATAAATAATAGAGACAGTTAATTTGCGATCATTTAAAGAAAAAAATTATAAAGAGAGCTTAGTTATAACACATATTAAAAATCAATGTAAAATAACATTTGGGTCCATGATAGAAAACAACTTCTCATATATTTAAAGTATTATATTGCAAATATTACAGGATTGATTGTTATATAAAATTTCATTAAAATAAAGGACATCTCACATATAGTTCAGTTGAAATTCTGTGTATTTTATTCAGGTCATATTACCTATCCCAATTAGGAAGCCAATTGGAAAATATTTTGAATCCACGATCAAAGGTAAATAGTACAAGTTAAATAGCCTGAGATTGTAATTAATTAATGCTGATTTATTGTGATTAATAGGAGATTAGATCATTTAATAAATATAGACAGGATCTTTTCTAAATAAGCAATAGAATACAATTTAAATAGCATAACAATATATATATATATATATATATAGATATAGATATAGATATATATATATATATATATATATATATATATATATATATAGATTAATTTATTTATAATCATAATTGGTGCGTTTTTCATAGAAGACAATTTAGATAACCAAAATATTTGAGTTGTTGCGAAATGAAGTAACTCCTGCAATAAGAAATGTTGATTTCGGCAGGATGCTACCGTACAACATTTTAGGATCGATGTTCAAAATGACTTATAGGACGTTTTCTACGACAGGTGCATAGGAAAGAATGGGCGCAATTGACTGGCCAGAAAGATCTCCCGACTTATCACAATTAGACTATTTTTTGTAGGAATATCAAAAGTGCTGCAAAAAAAACAAAACCTGTTTATCTGGACGAACTTAGAAAACAGAATACAAAAGTAATTGCGAACTGTCATATCGGCTTTTTATAATACATTTTATACTGCCAAATAGAACACGGGAAACACTTTGAACAGCTAGTTAAATAATCTTTGTAAGACTTTTTTATTAATAATTTTTTTGTTAAAAAAAACTTAAAACTGTATCTTTCAATAAACTTTTAATGAATCAATTTTGTACTAAAGGGTTTTGTAAACCATTGTCCTTTTAACTTACGTCAATTATGAGAGAAAATTATTTTCTGGCAAAATTTTCTTCTGGTTTTTTCAAGTCTGTTGTCTTTTGGCAATTTTCGCTTATAAAATTTTGACAAAATCACTTGACTGACGTCTCGTGATGTAACTGTCAAAATTTATTACGCTAAAATTGTCAGGCAACAAACTTTCATACCACTAGATAATATTGCCGGCAAAATTTTCTCTTCTATGATATTATCACAGAATACACCACCCAACAAGAAGCGAAAGCTTTGTCGGTATCTTTGATGTTAGTAAGACAGAAATTTCGGAGTGACAGTGACAGTTAAACTACTTAGTACACTAACGAAAGTAATGAGGAAGTCGTTCAAAACTGTAGGAAAATTATAGTTACACTGAGAAACGAAGTAATTAATAAAACTTTTTTTAGTATTATTCTTTTTTTACTATTATATTATACTTAATTATAATAATATACTTTTTGAATGTATTAAAATATGTATATGTATTATACAAAATATGTATAAGAGTATTATTCTTTGATTTATTGAAAACTGTAAAAGAATCAAAAATCGAGGTGCTGTAATTCAAGTGTAAAAGAAACAAAAATCCATTTATATAAGCTAAAGAACACTAGAAAATGTGCTCAAAAGTTTTTAGGTGTTTTCCATCTTCTTTAAAGCATTTTCTTGAAATAATATTTTTAAATTAAAACACCTTGTCCCTTTAAATACTGTTTGACCAAACAGACAATAGAGCTTTTATAAACCTACAACAAATCTTTAGTTAAACGAAACACTTAACTCGTTGTACCTTTCCTGACATATATATTCGTTGGGGGGATAAATATCGTTGTTGTTTTGGAAAATACTGTATGGGGTTTGTGGCATCGCTTGTGGTATACAAAATCCCGAGTTGGTGATCACTGATGAGTGCTTTTTTTCTTCTGTCTTTTCTATTTTTTGTCTTTTGCTTTTGTACCTAAAAATACAAATAAATTTCAATAACGATCAATTGTCACAGATTCCAAAATTATTCTTATGAACAAAAAATAAGCCTTACTAGAGGTAGGTATTGTCATGAGACTGAATAGCTTGTAAATGTAAAGTCCTGACAGGACTATGACATGGGACAGGCGGCACGTGGTCTCGGGGCAGAGGTTAGGTTAAGCACTTGAGATTAGGAGGTTAGGATGACACTGTAATCGGTAATACTGAAAGTAATATTAATAAATATGTACAACAGTCCGTGTTAAACATTATTACATGGCGCAGTCTTGTGGTTAATGAAGCCTGCAGCTTCCAAAATAAATGAAAACAAGAAGTTGTTAGAATCAGAACAATATGGAGTTTAGAATACCTCAACCATTATCATTTGAAGGTAACATGGCTGAAAACTTTCGGCGATTCAAAGAGTCATTTGAAATTTACCTCTTGGCCAGTGACAAGGCCGAAAAGGAAGACACAGTAAAAATTGCTCTACTGTTAAATTTTTTGGGAGATGAAGGACTTGATGTGTTTAACACCTTAAAATTAACAGATGCACAGAGAAAATCGTATGGTACAGTATTGGGTGAATTAGAGAATTACTTCACCCCTAAAAAGAATGTGATCTACGAAAGATTTTTATTCTACAATAGAAAACAAGAGGACGGAGAGCTATTTGATACTTACCTAACTGACTTGCGTAAATTGGCAAAAAATTGTGAATTCGGAGATGTACTAGACTCAATGATCAGGGATAGACTAGTTTTAGGAACAATCAATAAAGATCTACAAGAAAAAATGTTGCAGAATCATGAGTTAACCTTACAAAAGGCAATAGACATGTGTAGAGCATATGAAATTTCAAAAATACAGTTTAAAGAAGTTCAGTCAAGTCAAGCACTTAATGTTCATTCTGTAAAAGGGGGAAATGGTAATCAAACAGCAAGGGCAAAAGCTTCGAATAACAACTTTAATACTGGAAGAAACAAAAGATGGGAACAGGAGGAAAACTCAAGGAAAAGTGGTCAGTGCAGAAAATGTGGCCGTGCTCATGAGTTCAGAAGGTGTCCAGCATTTGGTAAAATGTGCAATAAGTGTTTGTATTACAATCATTTCGAGAAAATGTGTAACAACAGAATCATAAGAGAAGTTCAGGAGATTCAAGAAGTAGATATGGACCGTAAACAGGAAGAATTTATGGTAACATCAATTGAGGTAAATAAAATAAAAGGAAATAAGGAATGGACTGAAAGGTTAGTAATAGAGCAATATGGAATAGACTTTAAAATAGATACAGGTTCTCAGGTTAACATTATATCAATCTACTTTTTGAATAAAATCAATAAAAATCATGAGATAATTCAGAGCAAAATAAGGTTAGAAGCTTATGGGGGATTTAAAATAAAACCTGTGGGTATTATTACACTAAAATGTTTATTTAAAGGGAACATATTTCAACTAGAATTTGTTATAGTTAAGGATAACCTTATGCCAATTTTAGGTTTAAAATCATGTTTAGATTTGGGTTTGATACAAAGAGTAGATACCATAGATTTAAATATAACAAAAAATGACTTTATTAAACAAAATATTGATGTATTCACTGGATTAGGTAAATGTCCTCAAAAATGTAAACTAAAACTCAAAGAGAATTGTGTTCCTGTGGCTAAGCCCCCACGAAGGGTCCCTTTAGCCATTAAAGAGAGATTAAAAAATCAACTGTTAGATTTAGAAAAACGTGGCATTATATCTAAATGTGAGGGTCCTACAGAGTGGTTGAGCAATTTGGTTATAGTTGAAAAACCTGATAAAACATTAAGAATTTGTTTAGATCCTAGAGATTTAAACAAAGCACTTAAAAAGGAATATTGTTTAATACCTACTATTGAAGAGATATGCAGTAAGTTAAAAAATAAATGTTATTTTTCTGTTTTGGACTTTAAAGAGGGATTCTATCAAGTTCAACTTGATGAGAGGTCCAATAGAGTTTGTGCATTTGGAACTCCTTTTGGAATTTGGAAATTTGATAGACTTCCATTTGGACTAAATATTGCTCCTGAATTTTTTCAAAGAATTAACTTTGGTGATATTGAGGGATGTCTCATCTATTTTGATGATCTTTTGATATTTGCAGGTAGTCTTAAAGAACATGATAGAATCCTTAATAAAGTATTAGAACGTGCTAGAAATATTGGAGTAAAATTTAATCCCAATAAGATACAGTATAGAATGCCGGAAGTAAAATATTTGGGAAATACATTTGATAAAGATGGTATGAGACCTGATGTAGATAAAGTTAAAGCTATTATAAATTTAAAAGAACCCAATAATAAAAAAGAGTTACAAAGAATACTGGGCATGATCAATTACCATCGCAATTTTATACCAAATTTATCGGATGTATCAGCCCCACTAAGAGAATTGTTGAAAAAGGATACAGTTTGGATGTGGACTAGAAGTCACACAAACTCATTTAATTTAATAAAAAAGTTAATTTGCTCACCACCAGTTCTTGCAAATTTTGATGAAAATATTCCAATAATAATTCAAACAGATTCAAGTCAAAATGGTGTTGGATGTGTATTATTACAAAATCTTAAACCTGTATCTTTTGCTTCTAGATCTTTAACCAATTGTGAAACCAGATTTAGCCAGATTGAAAAGGAACTAAATGCAATCCTATTTTCTTGTAATAAATTTCATAATTATATTTATGGTAGAGAAGTTAAGGTTTTCACAGATCTTAAGCCATTGATTTCGATAATGAAGAAAGGCATAGCAGAAGTAGACTCTCCTAGACTACAACGTATGAAGGTGAAATTATTAAAATATGACTTAACTGTAGAATATAAGCCAGGTAAGGAAATGCTTATAGCTGATTTGTTGTCTCGAAACTTTTTGAAGGAAAAGGTAGAGGATGCATTTGTAACGGAAATAGTGCATACATTAAATATAACAGAAGAAAGGAGAGAGGAATTTATAGCTGAAACTAAACAGGATAAGAAGCTTCAAATAATTAGAGATTTTTGTGAAAAAGGGTGGCCGTCATGTGCATCGAGGGTACCTTACATAGTCAAAGATTATTTTAATATTAGGCATGATGTTTACTCATTAAATGATTTGATGTTTTATAAGGACAGAGTCATAGTTCCGGATTCTTTGCGGCATGGGATGTTAAAGCTGCTTCATGAAACACACTTTGGGGTTACAAAAACACAGCAAAGAGCGAGACAGGTATTATTCTGGCCAAATATGAATAAGAACATAGTGGATTTGGTTAGAAATTGTGTTGAGTGTGAGAAATATCAGAGAAATAATGTTAAAGAGCCATTAGTACTAAGAGAAATTCCAGAACTGCCATTTCAAATGCTAGCAGCTGATATTTGTGAATTTGGAGGAACATCTTATTTAATTGTAATGGATTATCTCACAAAGTGGATTGAAATTGTTCCGTTGCAGTCCAAAACATCACAGTCAATAATAAATTCGTTTAAGACGATGTTTGCCACTCATGGGATTCCTTTGGAAGTTGTATCTGATAATATGCCTTTTGGCTCTAAGGAATGTCGAGAATTTTCTAAGGAATGGAACTTTAAATTTGTGACATCTAGTCCTAGATATCCTAGAGCAAATGGTCAGGCAGAACGAGCCGTCCAGATAGCTAAAAATATTTTCAGGAAGTGTGAAGATCTTCAGTTAGCTTTATTAGAATATAGAAATACACCACTATTAGGATCAGACAAGTCCCCAGCACAACTCTTGAATAGTCGTAGACTTAGAGGCAAACTTCCAGTTTTACAAGAGAAATATTTACCAGAACAGGTAGACCTAAAAAATGAAAAGAATAAATTGGATAATAAAAGAAAATTGTACAAGCACTACTATGATAGAAATACAGCTACAAAAGAAGCATTAAGTGTAGGGGATAATGTGGTTATAAGAGAAGATGGGCAATGGAAACCTGCTGTGGTTAGACGAGGTTTACAAGAGCCAAGATCATATGTTGTTGAGAAAGAAAATGGAACACTTGTAAGAAGAAATAGCTATCACTTGAGATATATCTAATAATATGCCTAAACATCATATTAACCTAGCAGATGATTTTGATCACAATGAGAATGGCAGACCTTCAACATCAATGGCCCGTGAGAGTGAAATATCGAATCAGTTTCCTACCAGAAGTAAAAGATTAATTAAACCCCCATCTAGATATAATGATTTTGAAATGTACTAGTTTTGCAATCAGTATTGTTATTAGTTTTTATTTTAGAATGTTTTTATTCTTAGTTCATTGTTGTAAGTCTGTATATTATAGGAAGGGAAAGAAGGTTACACATTATTACAGGTATATATATGTAAATATGTACAAGAGTTTCCAGGAGACCCTGCCAGATAGTAAAATAATTAAAAAGAAACGTGTACACCACAAAATAAGACAACGAAAAACAAAGAAATATATAGGAAAGCTCGGAATAAAGCAAAAAGTTTTTCAATCCAAATACATAAACAATCATGAGGAAAGTTTATTGCTCAAATTGAGTAAGATTTCAATGGAAAACAAACTTTTGTTTGCACAGTCATAAAATCAAAGGTAATCAACAATAATAAATACAACTCCATGACTCAGTAGATAAAATTATCCACCAAGAACTATCTGACAAACTGGGACTTCTCCAAATCAACCATCTTCCTCATTATCAATACGTCCCTGACAGAATGCTTGAAAATGACAACTACAACCTATACTGGGACCGCACTATGCTCACAGACCAACCAGTAGCACATAATAGACCGGATCTCATACTAGTTAATAAACTTACTAGGCAAACAACACTTATTGATGTGGCGATACCCAACACAAATCATTTGCGTGTTAAATACAACGAAAATATTTCCAGAGAAGCTCAGACGCCGAAAAGAAGTACAGAGATCTAGCAATACAAATCAGGAGACAATGGAGAATGGAAATGGAACATAAAATAGCTGGGTCTAAAT